GCACATGGCATCCATCCATTTTCTGTCTCGTTGCTGGTGACAGCAACTGAGATTTCTCTGGTGAGGAGGGACCTGTCATAGTGTCCAGTGCAAAGTTTCAGCTTTTCCCTTTGTGATTGATCAGCTTCTCTGGCAACTGCTTAAAGACCTGTGTCTTCAATTTTAAAAGGATTTTCTTTGGCAGAAAGAACCATCGGACTTTTTTTCTTTTGGCTTATGGTCTTCGTAAGGCTTCTTTTCCTCATGAGCAATTTGAAGGCCAGCTCCAAGGTGTCCTTGGTCCTCAGATCTTTATTTGTGAGGAGCCCCTCTCCTCACCTGACAGAAAAGGAAACGGAGGTGCCCAGAGGAGAGAGAGAAGTGTGCAGGCCCACACAGCTAGTTGGTGAGAGAGCAGTGCAGGAATGAGTTTTCTCCTCTAAGTTCAAGGGGGAACACCCCTCCCATCCCCGCCCACCCTTCCCTTCAAGTTGTCTGGAAGCCCTGGACTGTTTGCCTGAGCTTGATAAGCAGAGATCTCCAAGCCCTGTTCAAGGCAGGGCAAAGCCCCAGGCCCGCTTTCTCTCCCTTTATCTCAGTAGCTGGAAAGAGGAGGTGAATAGGGGCTAGGAGGGGGTGCAGAGCAGAGGCAGAGGCAGGAGGCAGGATCCTCCTACAGGGGCTCGCCCTGGGCCTCTGGGGACAGGCTCAGAGGGACCTGGGGGAGCATATTCAGGACTCGGAGACGCTGAGCCTTGAGAGGGGCCACCAGAGAACGCACAGTAGGGGAGGCATCAGGCTGTGCAGTGGGTTCCAGGGATGCCCAGGACATACTGGCTCGACCCTTCCCGGGGAGGGGTGGTGAGGAACCCCCAGACCTCCAGCTCACAGCCCCGAACCCAGGGTCACTGCATGTGCAGGAGAGCAGACACCAGACCAGGACCCTGGAGGGGTGAGAGTCAGGTTAGCCCAGCCTCCAAAGGGTTGGAGGTGAGGGACAACCTGAGTCCTTGAGAAGACAAAATGATGCGGGCTCTGCGGAGTGGAGGAACAGGAAGGAAGGGGGTCTGTGTCCGAGTCGTGTGTGCCTGGAGTCAGCAGGAAGTGGCTCCAGGCCGCCCTGAAACTAATCAGGTGTACTATAAAAGGGAAACAGGACAGGGGTTCGTGTCTTGAGAGTCAGCTGCCCGGCTGATGTCTGGGAAAGGGGACAGTGAGGGGAGCAGTCCTGAATTTCTTCCAGGACAAGCTGAGTAGGGAGAGGCAGAGAGCCAGGTCCCCAGGGGTGGGCCTGTCCAGGTGTGCTCACTCTCCTGGAACTCCCTGCCCCAGCCCAGGGCCTCTGCCCTCTCCTCTGACCAGGCCCTTGCTCACCAATAACCATCTGGGGGTGGGCCTGGGGCTACAGATTAGAAACAAAAGGTGAACTCGACACAGCCCCCACCTCAGGGAGCTTTCGGGCAGAATGGGTGTGAGATGGTCCTTGGGGAGCCCTAGGGCCCCAGGGCCAGACGTGGACTGAGCCCAGGCTGCATCCTCGGATCCCCAGAGAGCAGGGATAGGGCCACAGCAGGTGCACAGCAGCAGAGAAGCAGCTGGAAAGGACCCAGGGGAAGGACGAGGGCTGAGTGTGACTGGCGGCCAGGGAGTGGTGATCAGGGCTGAGAGGGTAGCAGGTGGAGCAGAGTCAGCCTGTGTGTGGGTCAAGGAAGGACACAGTGGCAGGGACTGGAGAAGGGGCTTGGCAGGGCCAGACGGGCTCTGGACAAGGCATTCCTCCTACAGTATGTGTAGGGGGATGTGCATTCTTGTGTGAGTGTGTGCATATATGTGTATGTCTGTGTGTGCATGCATATGTGGGTATGAGGGGTGAGAGTGTCTCTGTGTGTGGATGGGGGCTAGGGAGCTGGAAGCTAGAGGCAGTTGTCCCAACTAGGATCCTTTTCTGGTGCAAGTGGGAGATTCTGAGGTCTGGACTCATAGTTGAGAACCAGGAGAGGCAAGATGGGCCACGGCCATTTCAGGAGGCCAGAGCAGCCTTCAGACTTGGGTAGATCCCAGCCAAGCTGTCAGTGGGAGGCTGATGGGGGAGAAATGGGGAGTCCCTTTCTGGGTTTGTGACTGGGTGCTTGCCACCTGGGAGTTTCCAGAAAGAAGCAGGTGTCCAGGCATGCTCTGGGGAAAACATGGGGAGTACATAGGTTGGCTGTCACCTGCAGAGGAGCTCCCAGAAATGCTGACAAATCCATAGAAAAAAAGTCACCAAAAGCAGGGTGGAGCCTTGCAGCTATCAAGAGGCTGGTGCCTAGGGAGAGTACATGTGCTTTTCTCAGTGGCAGGTGTGTGTGGATGTGTACAAACCTGTGTGGCTGAGTCTGAGTGTGTGCACACTGCTCACTGGAACCCTATCTTACCACTTCCCTGACTCTGCTGCCTGAGTTTTGGGACACACATCCTTGGCTGCAAATCTGGGAGCAGGTAAGACCATGCAGTTGGAGGAAGTGTGGGGCGCAACTCCAAACCTCTGCTTGCTCCCCAGGGTGGAGCCCCCTCTCCATCCCCCTCCCAGGAAAAAAGCCTCCTGAGCATTGATGTGGGTGAGGAGATAGCAGCCCCCTGGGATGACTCTCCTGTAGCTATTTTGAACCCTTGCACAGTCCAGGCCTGCGGTGGGGCCTCTGCCCAAGAAGAGCTCAAAGAGAAACTGGGGCACATACCCCTTGCCAGACACAGAAGGCCCTGGTTGGTCCTGTTCTTATATCTCTCCAGCTCACTCCTCAGTCCATAGCAATTTTTTTACCTGGGATTTTGAAATTCTTGCTAATCAGCGGGTAAGCTCCACAAGGTTATCTTGCTCCCTGATGTTTCTCCAGCAGGGTTTGTCAAACAGCAGGTGCTCCACACATGTGTGGAATGGTGATTTGAGGAGTGAGTGAGTTCTATCAGTTCATACAGGACCCAGGGTACCCCCAGGACCTGGTCCTCCACCTGGAGCAGATCGTGGCTTGGCACGTTGAGGAAATGTTTGCACGCACTCAGGAGACATGATGCATTGATGCATTCATGCACACCGTCTGGGGAAGCCTGGCTGAGGATCCAGCCTCTACAAAGTCCAGGCTGTCCCCCACATGCCCTGTATTTACCTCTGGTCCTGCCAGCCCAGCCCCGCCCCAGCTGGCGAGCTGACTTTGTGAGCCCCCAGGCAGAATACCCCTGCCTCCTGTTTTCCCTCTGCCGACTTCCTGCCTGTCCTTTGAGAGCAGCTCCTCTAGGGGTCTGTCTGCCAGGCTGAGGCGAGGCCTCCCACACCCAGCAACCCCCTGCAGCTGGACTCTCCAAGGCAGGCCTCTGCTGACTCCCTCACATGCCTGTCTGATCCAGTTCAGCCCCACTGGCTTTTTCTTCCTAGGCTCCAGCCACCCCCAACTGGCCTTCTAAAAACAAACGCCACATCCCCTGATTCAGTTCCTCCATGTGTAGAAGGAGAAGGCAGCATTCAGGGGCCCAGCAGCTCCAATATCAGGTCAGAGGCAGTCTGCCAGCTCCTGGAGGGCATTCAGTTCCAGACCCAAACACGAGGGGCCAGCATAGGGCAAAGTGCACATGGAGGCACTGCCCTTCAGACGGTTCCAGAAGAGGCGGCCCTTCCTCTGGGCCTCTCAGTCCCCAGTGTCTAAGGTGGAAGAAGGGAAGGGTGTGCAGGCAGTAAAAGAGGCACATGTGGGCAGCATGTGAACCAGGAGCCACACCCTGGGCAGGGCTGCTAGCAGCTTCCAACAAGGACATCTGGGCAGGCGGGCTCCACCATGGGTTAGAACACTAGAAGGAGTATCTGCCTTCTTGTCCCCCTTTTAATCAATCCACATAATTATTTTGAGATTCATCCATCCTGTCTTTCCTGGTATGCCAAGTAGAATTCCACTTCATAAATATGCCACAGGTTTTAATTGAAATATAATTGACATATAACATTATATTAGTTTCGGGATTCCCTGGGGGCTCAGACTGTAGGTGTACAAAATAGTGATGGGCTTCCCTCGTGGCTCAGATGATAAAGAATCCCCCTGCGATGCAGGAGACCCTGATTCAGTCCCCGAGTCGGGAAGGTCCCCTGGAGAAGGGAATGGCTACCCACCCCAGTATTCTTGTCTGGAAAATCCCATAGACAGAGGAGCCTGGCGGGCTGCAGTCCATGGGGTTGCAAAGAGTCGGAGAGGACTGAGTGACTAACACTACTACTACTAAAACTGCAACGTAATGATTCAGTGTTTGTACACACTGTGATGTAATCACCACAATAAGTTTAGTTAACATCCATTACCCCACGTGGTTACAAGACTTTTTCTTATGATGAGAACTTTAAGATCTATGTTCTTAACAACTTCCAAATATACAATATTAATTCTAGTTGCCATCTGTAACCCACGACTTATTTACCTTATGCCACTATTTTTCATCCATTCACCTGTTGATAGACATTTTAGAACTCAGTTTAGGACTATTACCAATAAAGTTGCAGTGACATTTGCTTCCTGGTCTTTACATGAACACAGGTTTTCTCCAGGGTTAATACCTTGGAGGTGAATGACCAGGTCATAGGGTAGGTATATGTTTTCAAGAAGCTGCCAGATCGATTTCCAAACGGGAAGCACCAGTTCCTTCCAGCCAGCAGTCTACAGCGCTCTGATTTCTCTACATCCTCACCAGCACTGGTTATGATCTGACTTTCTGGTTTCAACCGTCCCTGCGGTTCTCCAGGATAAGTGATGTCCAGCATCTTGCCTTGGCTCCTTAGCTCTCCGTCTACTTTCTTTGGGGAAGCTCTCTCTCCTCCTTGGGGCCTTACTCGGGGACGCGCGCTCCTGTTCCACCGCAGCCCTGCCTCCCCATCACTGTGCAGCGGTTACCCACGCCCACTGTGGGTGCCCAGGGCCCAGCCCGGGAAGAGGCAGCCACGCCCCGCACGGCCAGCCCCACCCAGCCATGCCGGGTCCTGCCAAGCAAGTCATCTCTTTTCGCAGCTACTCGGGAGTCCGCCTTCGTGCACGCCATAGCCTCTGCCGGCGTAGCCTTCGCGGTGACGCGCTCTTGCGCCGAGGGCTCCGCTGCCATCTGCGGCTGCAGCGGCCGCCATCAGGGCTCGCCCGGTGAGGGCTGGAAGTGGGGCGGCTGCAGCGAGGACATCGAGTTCGGCGGGATGGTGTCTCGGGAGTTCGCAGATGCGCGGGAGAACCGCCCAGACGCTCGCTCCGCGATGAACCGCCACAACAATGAGGCTGGGCGCCAGGTACGTCTGTGGCCCCCTTCAGTCCTGGGGGTGAAGCAGAAATCCCTGAGACCACACCCCTGCGGGGCTCTGGGAAACAGCTTTCTGAATAGGCTGTGTGCCCTGGCCCCCTGAGGGGTATGGCCCGCTGGAGGCAGGGTGGTGGGCTGTGGGGTGGGGGGGATGTATCTGATGGCCAAACTAGGGGTCTGCTCGCCTCCTGCCCAGGAGTGTCTGAAACACAGGGCTGTCCCGTTGCTCCACGAGGTCTAGGGCATTCTCACAGGATGGCGGGTCTGCCTGTGACGTTGGGGTCCCAAGGAAGGAGGGTCGGGAGAAAGGCCTGCTCCTGCACATTCCAGTAGGGAGACAGACAGGCTGCTCCACCGCAGTGTGGTAAGTTCTCCAATGAACAAATGCACACACACACACACGCAAGATGATCTGGGCATATGGAGAGGTCAGACCCAGACTGGAGTCTCAAGAAAGAGTTCTACTGACAGAGGTGGTGAGTGGAGACAAGCAGAGTCATGGGCAGACAGGGAAGCCCGGCGCGCTGCAGTCCATGGGGTCGCAAAGAGTCGGACACGATTGAGCGACTGAACTGAACTGAAGTGAGATGAGGGGGAGCCGGGAGAGCCTCTGGGTAGCCCACAGTGAAAGAATGCACAGGAGTTAGTTCAGACAGAACATGGAGAAGAGAGAAAGAAAGATGCGGGGAATGGAGAGGCTGCCAGAGACCAAGCTGTAAAAAGCTTTGTGAGCCTTTTTGAAAAGAACTTGATTAGAGGGTCAGTGGGGAACTGCTGATAGGAAGTGATGTGTGTAGGGGCTGAAAAATGTCCAGTAAAGTTGGCTCTGACCTTGGCCAGTGAAACTGGGGCATTGCAGAGGGCTGAAGAGTGAACATTTAATTTCCAACAACAAACAACAGGGAACTTGGTGACTCATATTAATCTTCTGACTAAAGAGTACAAAAGTACAAGTGTAGGATGAAATGTAAAAATCACCCTTTATACCCTGATACAGTTACCTGACTTATCACAGGGAAGAAGACAGTGCAGTGCAAAGGGGGAAATGGTCTTTTCAATAAAGTATGCTCAGTCAACTGGATATCAATATGGTAAAGAATTAATCTTGACCCCTACTTCACACCATATTTTTAAAAATCAATTTCCCATTTCCAAATAGGAAAGAGTAAACAAAAAATGTTTAGAAGAAAATATAAGAAAATATCTTTGTGACCTTGGAGTAGGCAAAGTTTCCTAAACAGGCCAAAAAAGCACTCATAATGAAAGAAAAATGTGATAATGCAGAGTGTATTAAAATTTGTAAAACCGCACCACCATGAAACTGAAAAGGCAATCCATAAAGGAGGAGAGATCCACAATATATACTCAACCTGTATATTAAAGTTATAGTATTAAAAAAATCTACAAAGTAATACGAAAAAGACTGATAACCCATTAGAAAGTTGGCTAAAAAATGGAAAGCCACTTCACAAAAGAAAATCTAGAAATGACCAATATGTGTGAATATGTGAAAGGGTGATCGATATCACTAGTCATCAAGGAAATGCTGTTGGAATACATGCCCTGGCAGGAAAGAAGATAACAACTGGAAGAGGGCATGATGGGAGTTTCCAAGGAGCTGGTGTTCTGAGGCTGGTAATTTGTGAAATTTGGTCATATTTCATGCTTATGACAGATAAACTGTTGCATGTATACTACACTTCCAAAAAAATAATTGTTAAGTGTCAAATAGCTAACATATAGTAAGGGATTAGCAGTCCAAAGTTCAGAAGGCGACTATAGACTCCAAGCCTGGTGGCTGGGGGCAGCTTTTATCCAGGGGTCATTTGCTGGTCTGAGAAAAAAGTATATATGCTGAGCTGCACTTTCAGCAGCCTCACCGAGCTAAAAGGGACCATCAGAGGTTCTGTGTCTGGGAAATAATTCCTCAGTTTAGGCGGGATCCTGAGGAGTAAACGAAAACCAGAAGTAGACAAGCCCTTGTGCACATGTGCGGGCTAGCAAAATCTCAAAACCGGATTAAGGTGATCCCAAATTGCTGGTATCCCCACACACCTGGAAAAAGAAGACAAATCCTTTTCAGAGAATGATAACCTTATGATAGGCTGATGTTTTTTTTCTACAAACAATTTTTCAAACACAGTGTTCAACACATGATCAAATATAACTTATTAAATGAGCTGGTGACATAATGAGTGATAACCAGCCAAACAAAACAAAGTGAAACAAGAACAACAACAAAAACAGAAATAAGAGTCAAATACTGAAATTATTAGACACAGATCGTGAGAAAAAAATATGCTTACTTGTGTTCACAAAGCTAAAATGTAATAAAATAGATTTGGGAAAGAATCACAAAGAAATTGTAGACCTGGAAATTGAATGGGAGCTTCCAGTTAAAAAAAAATGACAAACTAAATATTAAGGATTTTTGTCTGCAGTCTCCTAGAACATCACTAAAATGACAATGAATTAATTTTAAGATACATAAATAAACTATAGAGAACATGGAAAACAGAAAAGGGAACAAAGGCAATAAAACTTTGAAAGCAAAAAGCATCATCTCAGTACAGGTAAGAAAGCTGAATCTTAAGCCAGTAGAAACTCTTAAACTAGATTGGCTTTAAAGCAATCAACCCAGGAATTCTAGTATCCAATATCTTGGGAAGTAGAGATAGATACAGAGCTTGGAAACAGAAAGATTGGTTGAAATCTATTTTAAAAGCACTTTAAACCTACCAGCTCTTCTGTCCAACCTCTTGCATCCAGACAACGCCCCTCCATCACCATGAAGAAGCCTGGAGGCTTATTCCCTAATGAGGGCAAAGCAGAAGATGTCTGGACTGCTGAGGGTGAGGCTGCCCAAGTGAAAGAAGTCTTGTCTATATACACATTTCTCTTCTTAATCTTCTAGTGTCACAGCGAATCTTGTATGCTCTAGGTGGGAGAATGGAAGACTCTCCCCTGAAAATCAGACTAATCCAAGAGAAGAGACTTGAAGATATTGACGTGGGGTTTGCCCTAAAAGCAATGTGGCCAGATCACTCTACAGTGAGGGTCCAAGTACATGAGTCTCTTCTGTGTACAGGAGGTTCCAATTAGTTTTTGGTGCCCCACTTTTAAATATAGCAGGTAGTTAGGGATCACTGAACATGATGCCTTCCTACAGCCACAAAGATAAAGACCAAAATAAATAAACAAAAACCAAACTTATGGGAAAGAGACATTATAAAGAGAGATAAAAACTTCAAAAAACCATCACTACCCCCAGAGAGTTAATACCTTGAATCCATAAAACTGGAATAATCTGTTAACTTAAAAGAATATTCAGGGGGGAAAGGAGGCTCTTAGAAATTAAAATAGAACAGCAAAAATCTCAGCAGAAAGGTTGGAAGACAGTTGAGACAGCCTTCCCACAAAGTAGAGGAAGAAAGACCTGGAAAATAGGAAAGAATAGAAAATATAGATCTGTCCAAGAAAGACAGCAATGAACATGAAGATGAGGAAATTTGGTAAAGAAGTTTCCCAGAGCTGATGACCAGAAATTCAGACCAAACAGGCCTTGTAAGTGATCAGCACAAGAAAGGGGGAAGATCCATGTCCAGACTCATTGTGAGGGCTTTCTTGGTGGCACAGTAGTTGAGTCTGCCTGCCAGTGCAAGGGACATGGGTTCAATCCCTGGTCTGGTAAGATTCCACATGCAGCACAACTAGGCCCATGTGCCACAACAGCTAAACCTGCGCTCTAGAGCCCGTGAGCTGCAACAGGAGAAGCCACCACAATGAAAAAGTCCACACACGTCAATGAAGAGTAGCCCCCACTCACAGCAATGAAGACCCAGCACAGCCAAAAGTAAAATAAATAAATAAATAAATAATTTAAAAGAAAACTTATTGTGAAATTCATGGCCTATGACACAGAGAAGCCTTCCAAACTTCCCAGAAAAAGATTTGATTTCACGCAAAGGATCGGGAATCAAAATATCATCAGTGTTTCTAAGAACAACAGTGAAAGCTAAAATAAAAAAAGAGCAATACTTTCAGAATCCTGAAAGGGGGAAATATTTTAAGCCAAGACTTTTATACCAAGCTAAATCATCTTTTCAACTTTTCAAGTAGAAAAGATTTGTTTGCAGACATGCACATTTCACAAAATTTACCAGAGGGGCTTTGAAAAAGATGTCTCCAAGAAAATGAAATCCATGGAACATCTGGTGTGTTTGAAAGTCTTCAAGAGAATATTTACATGACTAGAGAGTATAGGAGACTGAATCTGTAAGTACATTAAAAACAGCAACAACAAAACATTTTGTAGAAGAAAAGCAATCACATCATGTGGCTCAACTAAGTATGACATTTAACACAGCCCCAACACTGTCAACTTCCCTGGTAGCTCAGCTGGTAAAGAATCTGCCTGCAATGCAGGTGACCCCGGTTTGATTCCTGGGCGGGGAAGATCCGCTGGAGAAGGGATAGGCTACCCACTCCAGTATTCTTGAGGTTCCTTGGTGGCTCAGCTGGTAAAGAATCCACTTGCAATGCCGGAGACCTGTGTTTGATCCCTGGGTTGGGAAGATCCCCTGGAGAAGGGAAAGGCTACCCACTCCAGTATTCTGGCCTGGAGAGTTCCATGGACTGTATAGTCCATGGGGTCACAAAGAATCAGACACGACTGAGCGTCTTTCAACACTGTCAGCACTAAGTTTTGATCTAACTGGGACTATGCTATAGTTTTTAGAGTAGGGAGGGGGCTTGGAAAAACTGTGCATCAGAGTTGTGGCATAAGGTCCCCCCATGGGACCTCCATGGTGTTAGGTCCATAAGACAAGGCCAAACACTGAAAAATCAAGAAGTAACAAGTGAAAGTGTTAGTCGCTCAGTTGTGTCCAACTGTTTGCAATCCCATGGACTGTAGCCCACCAGGTTCCTCTGTCCATGGGATTCTCCAGGCAAAGATACTGGAGTAGGTAGCCATTCCCTTTGCCAGGGGATCTTCCTGACCTAAGGATCAAACCTGGGTCAAGACAAGCATCTTATTAGAGGTGCAGAGGTGAAAGGTGCTGCCCCTAGCAGGTCAGGAAAGTGCTGTTAATGAGAGTGTGGGAGCAGAACTCCTGTTTTTCTTAACAGGTCTTAGGAACTCTTGGACTCTTTAAAGTATATGCATATATAACTTTGATCAAAAGTAAAATTAAAACAAAAGACTTAGGAGGCAGAGATGGAAAGTGTCAGCTCCTCTTTGGAAAAGCTTGGTCATGAAAGCGAAGAAAATGGAGATTAGACAGAACTGGATTTTGGTGAGGGAACATAATTTACAGATGCCCCTAAAAAAGTGCCAGGATGAGAATGAAGGGTTGAAGAAACAGCAGGGAGAGAGGAACAGGGTGGAGGAAGCATCTGGACACGGAGCCCACCTGAAGTCTTAGACCAGTGCTGTTCAGTAGAAGTGTAGTGAAAACCACACTGTATGTATCAATTTCTAGTAGCCACATTTTAAAAGGAAAGAGGTGAAAATTGTTTTAAATAATAAATTTTATTGAGCCCGATATAACCAACATGTTACCGTGACAGTAATGCAATCAATATTAAAATTTTGAATGAGATATTTTACATCCTCTTATGAAATCTGGGGATTTAGTGTGACCCAGCAATGTAGTGTGCCCTTAACAGCATTTCTCAGTTTGGACCACCAGCCACATCTCACGACCTCACAGGTGGCTATTTCTGAGTACATCACAGGACCTTTCACCCCCAGCCCCACTCCTTCCCCCAAAGAGAGAAGGGAAGAGAACCTGCTGCTGCCCACAGGAGAAACATAATGTAATTCTCAGCTGCTGCTGCTGCTGCTAAGTCGCTTCAGTCATATCCGACTCTGTGTGACCCCATAGACGGCAGCCCACCAGGCTCCCCCATCCCTGGGATTCTCCAGGCAAGAACACTGGAGTGGATTGCCATTTCCTTCTCCAGTGCATGAAAGTGAAAAGTGAAAGAGAAGTCGTTCAGTTGAGTCCGACTCTTAGCTTCCCCATGGACTGCAGCCTACCAGGCTCCTCTGTCCATGGGATTTTCCAGGCAAGCGTACTGGAGTGGGTTGCCGTTGCCTTCTCCGAATGTAATTCTCAGCACTTCCCTACAATGCAATAAACCCAGTTTCCTGGGCCCTGAAGATACTGTGCTCAAGCCACTTGCATTATTCATGCTCAGGTCAGCCTGAGCTGAGCTGAGGCTTGCCACCCAGCCCATGTGCATCTCCTCTAGACCAAAGCCTTGGATTTCCTCAGTTAGAAGGAACCATTTCCCTTTCCCACCCCTGCACTTACATGTCACATGTACAGCCCCATCTTTCCTTCACTGAACATAGATGGCCTAGAAGTAGACTCAGCACAGGAGGGGGCTTCCCAGACCCTGCCCTCCAGGGATCTTGGGTCTGCCAGGGGAACCACATCAAGGGTGGCATTGGGAGAGGGTATCTGCTCCGCCTGGGAGTCCCAGAGCTTTATGGAGCAGGTTGGGGGATTGTTTGACAGATGAGTGGGAGGAAGACTAAGGCAAGGAGCACAGCCATCCTCCCGGGGGGGTAGGGAGGTTGAGAGCCTGCCCTGACTCCACCGCTTGCCCACTTCTGTAGGCCATCGCCAGTCACATGCACCTCAAGTGCAAGTGCCATGGGCTCTCGGGCAGCTGTGAAGTGAAGACCTGCTGGTGGTCGCAGCCTGACTTCCGCGCCATTGGTGACTTCCTCAAGGATAAGTATGACAGCGCCTCAGAGATGGTGGTGGAGAAGCACCGCGAGTCGCGCGGCTGGGTGGAGACCCTGCGGCCACGCTACACTTATTTCAAGGTGCCCACAGAGCGCGACCTGGTCTACTACGAGGCCTCACCTAACTTCTGTGAGCCCAACCCTGAGACGGGATCGTTCGGCACGCGGGACCGCACCTGCAACGTGAGCTCGCACGGCATAGACGGCTGCGACCTGCTGTGCTGCGGCCGCGGCCACAACGCGCGCACCGAGCAGCGGAGGGAGAAGTGTCACTGCGTCTTCCACTGGTGCTGCTACGTGAGCTGCCAGGAGTGCGCGCGCGTCTACGACGTGCACACCTGCAAATAGAGGGCGCCGCCACCGGCCCCGCGGGTTAGAGCTCCACCTGGCGGGGCGGGGCCCCGGGGGCGGGGCTGGAGGCGGGGCTCTGAGGTAGAGCGCCTCCGTGGGCGGGGCAGGGGCGGAGCTCTGAGGTAGAGCTCCTCCGTGGGCGGGTCGGGGCTGGAGGCGGGGCTCTGAGGTAGAACTCCTCGTGGGCGGGGCGGAGGCGGGGCTCTGAGGTAGAGCTCCTCCGGGGGCGGGGCAGGGGCGGGGCTCTGAGGTAGAGCTCCTCCGGGGGCGGGGCGGGGCTGGAGGCGGGGCTCTGAGGTAGAGCTCCTCCGTGGGCGGGTCGGGGCTGGAGGCGGGGCTCTGAGGTAGAACTCCTCGTGGGCGGGGCGGAGGCGGGGCTCTGAGGTAGAGCTCCTCCGGGGGCGGGGCGGGGCTGGAGGCGGGGCTCTGGGGTAGCGCTCCTCCGGGGGCGGGGCGGGGCGGGGCTTGAGGTAGAGCTCCTGGAGCGGGGCGGGGTCCGAGTAGGACAGGGTTGAGGCTCCTGAGTGGCATAGAGTTCTTCCCCGTCCTGGAGTGAAACCCAGGGCCCTTCCTGGGTCCTCCTCTCTGGAGTTGGGGCTCCAGAGACGGGGATTTAGCCTGCTATTACTGGCCCCCGAAGACCGCATGGTTCCATCCTCCCGACCTCGTCTGTGTAAAGCAGAATCTCCTGGCAGAATGAGCTGTGGAGAGACTGTGGGGAACATCTTCTCCTCCTACCCCTCCCACTGAGGTCCGAGGTATATCCTCCAAGGATTCCTCCCGCAAAGATACCTGCCAATGCTCTCAACCAGGCCCTGCAGAACCGCAAGAATGGCTGGGGTTTGGGTCAAGGAGATAGGGCCCAGTGGCAGAAGGTTGAGGAAGGGCCTGGAACGTGTGGCCTGACTCTGTCTGGCTGCTTTGTGCTGGGCATCAGACACCTGGGCCCTCTTCCCAGTGTTCTGCTGTCACCCAGGCCCCAGCAAGGCACCACGCAGCCTGGTCAGCTGTGCCCTCGACTTTGCCGCTGACAGAGTCCTAGCCTGGTTCGCCCACCTCCCTGTCTTCACGTTCCCACGTGCACCCGATCTCATCCACAGGAGAGGAGCAAAGCCTCCTGTCCCAGTCTCGCTGTTGCCGGCCTCTTGGCATCAGCACCTCTCTCCAGCTCCCTCATTCACAGTCCTTTGTAAGGGAAAGGCAAGAAGGGGACCTAGACTCTAAGGCTGCCCAGAGTCACTGGGCTGTGCTGCTGCCCAGGTCCTACTCAGCTCTATAACCTAGCTTAGAGGCTTACCTTGGGTTGTTTGGGAGATTTGGAGTCGGGGGGGTGATACAACACTGGTGCTACAGAGAGAGGACCCAAAGAGCCCAGAGGAGTGGTCTCTGCCCCAGCCCCTTGTGGCCAGGACTGACCCCAGGTCCTGCTGCTATGTCTTTGGTACACCAGACCTACCTGTCACTGGTCATTGCGGAGTCTCCGGTTGGCTACTTGGCTCGGCCCTCATCACATCTGATTCATCCATCCTGTCTGGGAATGAGCAAGGCCGATGGACCCCTCAACTAATGCCCATAGGAGCTGCCCACCATGTGAGGCCTTGCCAAGACTCTTCCTCCTCCGCCTCTGGTACTGTGAAATGTTGCCTGGCGCCTGGCCCTGAAGGCCTCCTGTCCAGGCAGGGGGAAAGACAATGGAGGGACCTGCACACCCCACTAGGAATACGACCTTCCTTTGCCTTCAATTTTGCATTTGTGGGTTTTAATTTTATTTCTGATGCTGCTATATCCACCATACACAGGAGCTAGACAAACAGATGTGTTGTTGTTGTTTTCCTTTTCTTTCTATGAAGGAAACTTTTAGTCATAGCTTGTGAGTTTCAAACAATGGGGAAAGTAAAAACAGACAAACAAAAAACAAAACAAAGAAGAAGAAGAAACAACCAAACAAGCCTGTGGATTGTGCTGGATTTTTGGTGGTGGGTCAGCAAGACATGGGACCTGGATTGGTCTTGACCCTCTGGGAGGGGCCACGATGGGAGGTGGTGGTGGGCATGTTTAGCTCAGAGACTCCTGGGGGCTCTGTAGTGGCCTCCAGAGCCAGAATTCCAGAGGAAGGAAGAAGGATGGCCACTCCAAAGAAGGAAGGAAACAGCCAGTGGTCTCAAAGTCGAGGGGGAGACAGGCCTGTGAAAAGTGCAGACGGCGGGGAAGGAGGCCTGCCTGTTGCAGAGGATGTGTGAGGCAGCAAGCAGGGCCCCAGGGGCAGACCCCACGCCAGTCAGGGGTGCAGTAGGACATCCACCAAGTCAGCTGGAAGCCACTTCCCCAAACATCCACAACATGCTCACTCAGTTGACAGCTGAGCTATGGGGCCAAGACTAGCTATGTGGCCATGCTTCCTGGGCTTGGGGACACGAACTGTGTGTGGGGTCCCCTTCTCAGCCTGTCATGGGGCACTCTGGGAGCCTGGTCTGACATGGAGGCAAGACATGTTCCCTCAATCGGAGGCTCACCAGCCAGAAGCCTGGAAATCAGGCAGGAACTTCTCACTGGGCCTCGCCTCCTTCTGCCTCCTGCAAAGGTCACATTAGAAGTCACAGCTCATGCAGCAGGAATCCAGTTGGGAGATCATGAGGGATATCCATTGCTGGCAGAGAGCTAATGTATGAAGCCAAGAACTCTCAGGGGCTCCTTCCTGCCTCTGTCCATCCTCAGGCCTGAGCTGACCCTGGACCCTGGCCTCCTCTCCACCACAGGGCATAGCTCAGGTGTCTGAGGACTGGCAGGGGTCAGCACTCTCTATATGTATGGTTGGCCAGATCCTGGAATCGTGCTCAGAATCTTGGGGTGGGGATCTTTCCAAAGCAAACAGGGAGAGACTCAAGGGCAAGCAAAGCATACTCTTGGCAGAAGTGTCACGCTGTGCCTCCATGGCTATTGCCTACATCCACCCTCAATCCAGGGTATTCAGGATATGCAAAGCTGGATAGCCCTCTGAAAACTGAGGCTACAGGAGCCAGGAGATGAAGGGATGGCTTTCTCAAACCACATCTTCACCTCTTCAAGCCAAGAGCAGGGTCCTTGCTTCTCTCTCTGTCCCTCCATGCTCTCCTCCCTACTACTACCACTGCCTCTGAGCCCTGCCCTGATATCCGAGCAGACCCACAAGGAGGGAGAAAGGGGAAGCAGGAGTGGAGGTGCATGCTGGGGCAGGTGGGACATGGGGAGAGCTGATGCTGGAGCTGAGGCGAGGAGGCCTAGTTCCCACCCTCTCAGAGGTCAGGCTCAGCACAGCCACCCTGCAGGAGCCGTATGCGGAAAGGAGGGGGCTGGGGGCAGATGGGAGCCTCATAATCAGGAGGCTTGTGCCTGCTGAGAGCAGAGGGAGGGAAGCCCAGTTCAGCTGGCTCCATGGCTAGACATCAGGGCCACATGGTATCCTTGAGAGCAAAGGAATGAAGGGTGACCCTCTGCCAACAGACAGCCAGAGCTGGCTGGCCAGGGTCCTGGCCAGGGCTGTGCAGACCCAGCAAGGACAAGAGTATCCACTCCACACAGAGCCCTGCACTGGGAGAGAGGGTTTGGGAGCTGCCTGGTGGAGGGAGTAGGAACCCTTCAAGGGAGGAAGGGAGGAAAGAGGACACATGGTGATAGGAGGTCATGGCCTCATCACTCCAGACAGGACCTGGGGAATACCACCCCCCATCACACTAATGGCCACACTAGTCTTTGCTGCAGGGTCCAAGCCACTAAAGTCAGAGCTGGAAGAGGTCCAGCAAGGCTAAGGGACTAGAGGCAGGGACTTCCCCACAGTCATCCAGTGGTTAAGAATCTGCCTCCAATGCAAGGGGCAGATTCAATCCCTGGTCCAGGAAGATTCCACATGCCACAGGGCAGCTAAGCCTGTGCGCCACAACTACCAAAGCCTGCGCACCCTAGAGCCTGTGCTCTGCAACAAGAGAAGCCTGGGCACTGCAACTCGAATAGCCCCCACTTGCTGTAACTAGAGAAAGCCCTTGTGCAGCAACAAAGACCCAGCACAGTCAAAAATAAATATAAGTAGATATAATATATATATTTTAAAAGGGACTCAGAGAGACACAGGGCTCTGGACTCCCAAATCCTCTGCTTTCACACTCCAAATCATTATCACCTTCCCAGGCTGGCACACCCAAGTCCCACCCAGGCCACTCACCCTTGTTGGCCCGGGGCTCACTGCCTCCTTCACCAGGCCCATTCCAGGCCAGGTCACCACTGCCCCAGGGCTGTAGCTGACCACCAGGGACTCCCTACTGGGGCCTCAAGGGGTCAGCTGGAGTCAGATGGACTACAGGCAGACTCTATAAAGAGGGAGACACTGATTAAGCTCACAGGGCAGTGTCCAGGCCTGGAGCACAGGTGGCCAATCTCACCTGCAGGCCTGAGTCACCAGCAGAAAGACCCCAGGCCCACATAGCCCACCAGTCAATAGAGCCAGATCAGAGACTCCAAACAAGGGTCAGGTCCTGGGGCGGGGGGTGACAGGTGCCCCACTTGAGCTACCTATGGGCCACATCCACAGTGCACAGACAGTACAAACAGTGCAGCACCTCTTATTAGTTAGGGTCTGGGCAGGAGTTGCCCTAATTGGCACCTGCTGAAAACTAGGTGCTAGGGGCTCCACAGATGAAAGGGTAGGAGAGACGGGCTAGTCAGGGAGTGGAGGCATAGCCACAGGGTCACAAGGCTGAGACGCCAAGAGAGGAAGCAAGGACACAGCCAGGCTTCCTAAGAGAGCAGAGGCCAGACGCCCAGAAGGAAGACGGAAGCTACCTGGGCGTTGATGTAGAGATAGGTTCTGCCTGCTGGGTCCCAGCCCTCCACCAGGTGAGGCACTAGGCCCCCACTCCCCATGTCTATGGCTCAAGGGCAGAGAGAGGCAGAACCCCACCAGAAGAGGACCGTAGGTCCACAGGACAGGCTCCAGTAAATGGTCGAGGGGAGCTAGCAAGAGCCTG